GAATTTAGTTATAAATATCATGTTTTATTAGATGCATTAATATTAGAGTCAATCAGTGCAAGAAAGCTGGCAAGTTCTTCACATATTTGCGGCTTTTATGACTTTTGACAGCTGCCAATTTTCAAATGGCATCTATGAGGGCTCGCAGACACAAATACACCCACACACACTCATACCGAATGCCTAGGCAACATACATTAAAGTGCAAGTAAAAGGCAAAAGACACAAGTAGGAAAAAAGCTGCTAAAAGTGATTGACTAAGAGATACTCTGTAAGGGAAAAGAAATACAGAATATATCAAAATTAATATTATAAAATATTTTTATTTTACAAGTTATAAGATATAAGCGGAAATATATACAGCTTAAATTTGTACAGGGTATTTAATTAGCTGCAATTGCACTTGCAGCTGCCCGTCAGAACTTTGGCTGAACTTAATTTACAATCGCGAGAAATAAGAGCAAGACAACGACATTTATTCATTTGGAGCAAACACCTGCAAGTCGCCGCTGCCACCTACCTGTCTGTGTGGTGCAACCATGCCGCATATATTAAAATGCAGCAGCGTGTATGATTTTTGATTTATGATCTGTCACAAAAATAGCCAAGCTGCTACGCCCTGCCCTAGTATAGGTGCGCCGGCAAAAAGTCTATACAAAAATGCGTGCAATGCAAAAATGCGAAAAGAAAAAGAAAATGTGTCCGTATATAATGAAAGCCACTGAGGAAGGATGGCAGTAAAAGATATTTACGATGCCCATAGCGCGTCCAGGCCAAAGTTATGCACAAAACTTTCTATAGAACTCAACTTGAGGTTCTGGGGAGCTTCTCAGCTCTTTTTTTGCCTGCCTGCCTGCTGCCTGCTATCTTAACACGATCAAAGCCAGCCACAACAACAGAAGCAATCAATTTTCGTTGTTGTGATAGCCGCGGGTAGTCAGACAGCACCGGATCCAGCAAAGCAACTTGCATATATCCAATGCGAAAAGCTGCAGGCGATGCGGCTGCTTAATAAATATGATAATGCCTGGAACGGCGCGACAGAGGCGCGACAGAGCCCAAACAGGCTGCTCTACTAATTAATGTAACAACTACATGGGCAGTCGTAACTGAGCCGCCGACCAGTGCTGGCCAACATCCTTCTTTGGCATATTTCTGTCTCTGGCTTAACCCTAATAATAATAAATAGTGTCAGGATTAATTGAATCGTTCGCACTTTGCAAGCTTCGCGCCGTTTCCCAAACGTGTCACACACGCTGCGACAAATGATATATCGCTCCTATTCAGCTATGCAATTTATTATACAATTATTTATGCCAAGCTTCAGTCCTCAACCCTCCAGAACAACAACAGCAACAAGCAACAGTTGCTGCCTAACAACATGGCAGCAGCCACCATTTTATAGTTCATTAATGTGGCATGATTTACGCACAGATGCCAAAGCAGCCAATGCAAAAGGCAAATATAGAAAACATTGTCAAGCCACAGAAGTCCAATATGAGACTCTAAGATACATTCTTTAGAATGATTGGGTTAATAATAGGTCTAGATGAAAACTGAACAGATTGATATGATAAAGATACTGATGGAGAGCTGTGAGATATTGATAACAACTGTTAAGTATGGATATGTTCATATGATACGTGTGTATATGTATATACATTAACTCTACTATAGCTAAAGTCAATTCATATCTATATGGTATCAAACATAGTAAAAAACACAGTTGTGAATCTCTAAAAGAACACATTTTATAACAAAAGTTTGTGTAGTCAAAACTGTTTTATTTAGCCAGCCATTTCACAGCTGATAGTTGCTTTTAGTTGAATTTGGCTTGACATTTTAGTAAGAAGAACAATTCTTGCAAACTGTTAAAATATTTTATATAAACAATGACTCTATTAGTCGTTTTGTCGAAACACCATTACAACCACAAAAAATTACTGTGTGGTACGGTTTATGGGCTTGCGGAGTCAGGTCTTCAGTCTTCAATCGACGATGATCACAATTGTGATTATTGCGATCATTGGTGTTCCTGTTGGAATTTGTTACTCGCCAGTCACATAATTATTATGTTTTATTTTAATTATTATTTTTATTTAATTTTTTTTTCGAGAAAATATTTTAATATTTCATATTTATCATATTTACACATTAATATCATTAATATTTCTATGCAAAAAAGGCCATATAGTTGTTATTAAAAGTAAGTTTCTTTGATTTATTACGACTTAAACTTCTATGACTCTAAAAAAGATACTCCTATATATTCAACTAATTTTAATTATTTAAGCACTGCTTTCAAATTGATATAATTAATTTAGTTTTGATTCAGTTTATAAGTGCAGCAGTTTTAGTATCAGTATAAGATATTAGTAATCTGTGTTCGAAATAATTTTGTGACATCTTCTGACTAAAGCCTTTAGATTGGTAAGAGGCAAATGCTTAGTCAGATGTTGAGCATATGGCGGGCAGTATAATAATTCATATGTCACGTGTTACCGTTAAGCTTAAAATGCGCTTAAAACAACGTAAGCCAAATGAAAAAATAAACGGAAGGTAAGGTATTTAAAACAAAGTGCAAGGTGTGTGAGTGTGTGTGTGTGTGCGTGTGTGCGTGTGTTAACCTGGGCCAAACGAGGCACTCAGCGAGCTGCCTGCTCAGCTGATTGCTGCAGCGAATTGTTGAGCGAAATGGAAGTGAAATCCGCTGAGACCAAAGACCAGATATAGTGAGTCAGTTGGGGAGCGGGCTATAGGCATGGGGCAAGGCAAGAGGAGAGGGGCACAGCATATGTGAAAATAATCGCAAGCCGGCACATAAATAATGGACTCAAGTGTCAAAGGGGCATATCATCAATTTGTTCTTTTGGCGGCCTACCCCACAACTACAACCCCATAGCACGTACACACACACACAGACACTCGCTCCCCTTTAGCCATGCATATTTATTTCAAAAATAAAACTGAACAATGCGCTGGCATTGAAGAAGTAGCCAGAGCTCCAGAGTTTCGGTCTTTTTTCCCAAACAAATTCGCTGAGTGCTTAAGTGCTTCCGAAAGTGAAACAAATCTGTGACATGTGTTTCAGTTTTTCTACCTCCTTCTCGCTCACACACACACGCACACTAACACAGTCCCTCTCGCTCACTCTCTGTAGTAAATTTGCCTAAAGTGCGAGCAGCAAATCGAGAACTGCTGCAGCTACCGAAAACTGTGACTGAAATGCAAAGAAAAATGTGCCTGACGCTTTCCTCACTGCGTGCCTCACTCCCCAGTGCCTCTCTCTTACACCTCTCGCAACTTTGTTGCATTTTAATTCAGAGTTTTCTTTCTTTTTTGCTCGCGTCTTCTACAACGCGTTTGCTTTTTTTTAAGCGGATTTTCAGCGCCGCTTTCCAAACGAGAAAAAATTCCCAAAATTGGCTAAGAAATATTGTCGCAACCAGAGACAGAGAACAACAGAAACAAATGTTGCAACCAGCGCTACGCAGTGAGCGAAATGGGGCACCCTCCCTCCCTCTCTCTCACACTTGCGCCCTCCCTCTCTTTCTCTTTCTCTGAGATTTTTACTGGGCACGTAATTTATGTGAGCTGCTTAGGGAGCGCACTCACGGAATGATATGTGGGCAGCACCCACAACTTGAATGACTGCTGCGCGCCCGCACAAATTAAGCCGAGCTAAAAAGTTTTAATAGAGACAATCTTAAAGCAAGATGTTCACTTGACAGCACTGATGTGTGGCTGAAGAAATATCTATTGCTTTTATACAGAAAGATAAGAGAGAGAGATTTGGTAAAGTTTTTCTGATCATTTAAAGTTTATGTTTAATTGCACTGATTTTACAAAAAAAACCTATTGGTTTAAGCTGTTTATAAACAAGTTGACAGTTATAAAAATTAATATAAAAAATCATTATAAAAATATATTTTAAAATCTGAAATTGAAGCTTTATTTTTCGCATATTTTAGCTATACTTTCACTATATATATCGTCTTCAATACATTTACGTTACCTGCAATTAGTCTATGAATCTATTTTATTTCAGTGGCGACTCTTCTGAGTGTTGTTTTCGTAGCAGACATTGTTCAGCTGATCCTTAAGCATAATAGCTGTTCGAAAATGCTTAGAGACGTGCTTAGAGCTCGTGGTAAAAAAGATAGACCCACAAATAAAAGGTCAACAGAAGAAGTAGAGTAGACAAAAAAAAGTGGAAACTGCTGGAATAACAAACAAGGCCAAAACAATATGCGCCAAGAGAACAAAGTGCTGGCCCATACAAATGCCATGAAGGGGGCTTAATGCCACAAATTGAGCAATTCTTGGCATATGTATGGACCATATCCTTTCTGCCTCTATCTGTGCGCTGTCTGCTAATGCAGCTATTTGAAAACTAATGAGAAAAAACCAGGCGGCAGTCAGAAATCCGCTTACAGTGATGAAAGAGCGAGAGAGACGGATGAGGAGCAGCAGCGTTGGTGCGGCTGTTGACGAGCTGTAAAAGGAGCCATAGCTGTGGCAGTGGCAGTGGCAATGGCAGGAGACTGCTGCAGCAGGCGAGTGCAAATGAATGCGCATTTAAAATTAAGCCATAATCCTTTTACAATTGATGCTGTGCAGTCAGCCAGATACCTGTATGCCACACACTCACACACATGCACACATGTCCTTGCAAGGACAACACAGCAACTGGCAAGCTGCTGTTGTTGTTTTTTGTTATTTTTTGGGCTAAAGCAATATATTTGTGTTGTGACCGGGCTTAGCCACTAGGTGTGAGGGCATAAGGTACTGTCCCCCTTCTGATCCCTTCTAATGTATTGAAATAATAGTTAGCAGACAACAGATCGAGAGGCAAAGTTTCTATTAACATTGGCGCAATTTATGTGAAGATAAATTCCACTTTTCAAATAAATCTACCTATTTGAAAAAGGAAAAGGTTAACTTATAAATTCAAGTAGCCCGATTAAATATTTTTAATTCTGAAATTTATGTAACAAGTTCTGGCCAAATGTTTTAGCTGTTTTAATTTAATAATTAATTTAAGCGTAAATTCGGATGTCAAATGAGCGTATCAAATTCTGTCTTTGTGGCTCTAGCGGCATCGTTTGGCGGATTCATTGTTGGCGTGTCCCTTGCATGGTCGGGACCAATAGCGGTTGAACGCATCGTCGGTACGACGTACAACTTCACGCCGAATATGTTCCACTGGGTTTTCATATGCTCCATTGTAACATTGGGTTGCGCCGTCGGTTGCATACCCGCTGTCCTATTGACAGTCGAATTCGGCAGGAAACCGATCATGGCGCTGATGATGATGCCATGTATATTCGGCTGGCTATTTGTACTTGCCGAGCAGCACTTCAGCATGATGCTCGTTGGTCGATTTCTGATTGGCGTGGGCAGCGGTGGCATCGGCGTGACAGTTAACAGGTACAATACAGAGATATCTGATATGCAAAATCGCAGAATGTTGTCCTGTTTCTTTCATTTTATGCTCGTACACGGCAACCTCTATGCCTACATTGTAGGAACGTTGAATAACTTGATGATTTACAACTTTGCGTGCGCCATACTACCAGTTATTTACTTAATTTTACTTTATTGGGTGCCCGAATCGCCGGTCTTTTACATCCAAAGAGATGATACAGCGAAGGCGGAGGCCATTTTGAAGTGGCTACGTGACCCCGATGTAAATATTCAATCTGAAGTGGAAGCTTTACGGAATACGCAATTAGCGACAAAGTCAAGCTTCAAAAAGGAAATGTCTGGAAGTGCCGCGGTCAAGGGCCTGGCCCTTGCGATTACATTGATGTTGTTGCGGCAGGTGACGGGCATAAACGCTTACATCTTTTATTTAAAACCCATTCTTACTCTGAACGGTGTGAAGACGAACTTGGAAAAGTATTTAATCGGCTTTGGAGCAGCCCAACTAATCACCACATATGTCTCAACATTTCTAACTGAGCGCACGGGCCGCAAAATGTGGCTGTTTGTGTCGGCCCTAATAATGCTGATCGCCTCCATCATAATGGCCATACACCTGCAATTTCTAGTGCACTCCGACATGGTCTGGATAGTAATTGGAGCCAGCATTTTGTTTGTCGTTGGACACTCGCTGGGCTTCGGTCCGCTTGCCTGGTTCATTATGTCCGAGCTGTTTTCGGATAATGTGAAGCCACTTGGTGTTGCAATTGTTTCCATGTGTTCCTGGCTCTTTATGTTACTGGTGACGATCATTGTGCCACTTGTCCTGAAAAGCTCTACGCCCTCCTCAATATTTATTGTATTTGCTCTTTTCTCATGTTTCGCGTGTATTTTCGTTGTCAGCTATTTACCAGAAACGAAAAATAAAATTTTGCAACCAACGCCTGCGGCCGAGACGTCCGTATTGTAGCGATTGAAAATCTAAAAGCGTTGCCAATTTCTGAATTTGTATTTCCGACAAAAGTTAACACATTGTAGAAAATCAAATAAGAAATTCGTTACACTCAACTGCACGCAACGACGCACTTAATTTCAAACAGGATTTACGAGGTTGACAGACATTCAGCGTGCCACGGGCGGAGTCGGAGCGCAGCCGGCAGTGTTGCGCTGTGGCTGGCTGTTGCGCATGCGCAGCGGAAACTGTGAAAAGAGCAAATCGCTTGTGACGAAACGGAATTTTCAACGCTCGGCAACGAACCGAATAGATGCAAAAACTACTAATGAAATGTCCTTTGGGCTCTTTGAACTCACAACAAGAAAGCAAATGCGAGCGACTTCCTTGCCCAGCAGCATCTGCAGCAGGCTGCCTAGCTGCGTGTGTGTGTGTGGCATATCGAATGGCTTAAGCAGAGTGATCGGACAAAGAGAGAATCAGAGAAAAGGGAGGGCAAAATGGTTCGCTTCATTGCATTTGGCTATGGCAGGCAGAGAGTTGGCATGTTCCGTAATTTGTTGCATGCAATGCGTTGCAATTTGCTGGCCCGGCCTTCCTCGAGTGCCTTGGCTCTCGCATTAATATTCAATTTTCTGAGTGTACTTAGTGCAGCTTAGATACGATTCAACTGCATCTGCCCCAATTAGTTGCAATTGTTGCAATTCGCCACGGGCTCAAGTGCCAGCAACAACAACAGCATCTGCTTCTTGCTTCAGCCATTAGCTCAATTATACATCTACTCAAATATTGCATCAACCGCTCATGCAACATGATAAATTAGTTACCTAAGTGACGGACATGAAAGTAAGCCAATAACACTTCAGAGCCCAAGTATAAGCCATGGCAAGGCAAAGCTTAGAAAATTGTTCAATTATATTATTGAACAAGTCAGTATGTAGCAGTCGGGCGCTATCGACTGCATAATACTCTCTCAGGGTCTAAGACTATTTTCCAATTTGCCACAATTGGTAAATCAATTGAGCACGCCTACAATTCTTAAATCTTTAGTTTAAAGCTCAAAACATGTGATTATAGTATATATAGTATATATATAGGGATGTGGATAGAGTCACTATATATTTTTGATCGAGCATCACGTTGTGTAACTTTCAAGGCTCTAGTTTATAGTAAGAACTGAAGCCACAAATCGTTTTTTTTTATGCTTTAAAATTGTTGATGCCAAACAAAAAAAAAGTTTATTAAAAGATATTCCATAATTCATCAATTCACAAACGAGAATGTTCCTTTCAATTAGAATCAATCAACGCAGCAACATTAAAGCACTATTAAAACTCTAAACATGACCAAAAAAACTTAATATGGCCTGAGTAGAACTGGAAGATATAAAAAGTTAAATAACTTAAGTAGAATCAATTTGTGAATATCTTTGCAATAATATTGTAGTTGAAGAGGTTTTTCCCAAAGACGTTTTTTCACCTGAACTTGCAGACGAACAGCTGTGAAGGGTTCGTTCGACGCATTGCTACTGGGGTATATTCTAGAAATGTGCTTTTGTTTTCTTCTGACAGGCAGCTGTTTTGCACCTGAGCAAAACCGCAAGATGCGCAAACAACAGTTAGTTGTATTTAATTGATAAACAATGCAAAAGCAGGACCAGAAACAACGGCAGTAGCAACAGCAGCAGCAGCCCAGCACAGCACGAGCCTGTCACAAGACAGAGGGCACGAGACCCTGAAGGCTATTTGACGCAGCTTGAAATTCATTTGGACCAAAATATTTGCAACGTATGAGCTGCAGATTGCCGTTTGTGAAATGCATTTCCATGAAGCAGCAGCAGCAACAGACAAAGGGATATCCAGCAGCAACAGCTAAGGGACTACCGAAACGGCAGCAACAGCAGCCTTGAAATTGCATTTTATGACTGGACATTAAGAGGGACCAGTTAAAACTGCAATGTCCAGAAGCAGCCGCAGCAGCAGCAGCAGCAGCAGCAGCAAGCGTGCCAAATCAAGCGACCCATGCGAAGTTGACATTTTCCAAGCTACTAACTAGTCAACAGCTCCGGGGCACAGGGACTGCTGTCCTTCGCTTCCCTTTGCTACGCGCATGCGTGGCTAATCGCGATACGTGTGTCCAGTTTTTGGCAGCGGCCACGCTGCACGCGCCTTTAGTCACACTAAATTATGACAGGATGAGTGCAACTGCAGCCAAGCAACTGGCAGCACCTTGAGCATGCCATTTAGTACACCCACCTGGTAGCCCATTATCCTTTGGCAACAAGAAGCGTGGCTAACGCGTTGCCAGCTAGACAAATGTCATATCTACTCACAGAAAAAGTCTATATACATTAGGCTTTTGTTAATCTCGGCTAGGGCAATAAGAAGAGCAGAGAGAAAACTGAGGCGAGACAAAAAGAAATTAGTTATAAGACCAGCAATAGAGTGGGAAGAGGAGCAAGACGGACAAGAGGGAGACAGAGAATGAAAAGAGAGGAGATAGAGATAGAGGGAGAAATAAATAGTGGAGAGAAGAGAGAGATGTTGATGTCTGTTGTTAAAGATATAAAAGTACTTAGATAATATATGACATAAGACTTAGCATATATGATATAATATAATTCTATAATCCATAAATATTTACTATAAAATTATTAATATAAAATAAAATCACACAACAAAAATTAAAATTGGAAAAAATCTATATATAGAGAATAATATGTGAAAATATGCACAATATATGATTATGGAAATATAATACTTAATATATATAATATACAATGTATATGATATATTTTAAATATACATACAACTCTTTTACTATAGAAGGTAAAAAAAGGAGTATTAATAATAGAACTTGCTGGACTTACAGTCATTTGTAGCTGATATAATCCTTGTTAGGCTCTGAACCCATTGAAAATGGGTTGGTTAAAATGGTTCTGATAAAATATATAGAAAAGGCAGAGGCACAGCAGATCCCATAGTCTATATATTATTGCTCACGACGAGCTGAGTTGATGTAGCCTAGTCCGTCTGAGCCCAACTGAGTGTCTGTCCGTACGTATGAACTTGATATTAATATCTATATATTCCATATGCATTATGAGTTTATTATTCTTTTGATAACTAATTTGCCTTTTAGGCTCAACTTGCATGTAAATCTAAGATGAAAACATTGCATTTGCTGTAAGGAATTCTGTAATGAATACAAAGTTGTTGTAGATATCGGATTTTACCCCAAATTTCCTAAAGAAAAGTATTTAAAATACTTGGCAAATAAACACATCTGAATACTTTTATTACGCTCTGAAAATTTCATTTAGAAAGTGCATTTAAACAAAAGTTACTTAGCAATTAAGTTCCCATAGTAAAGCCCACAAGCTACCAAAGAGATCGTGCTTATGTGTGCATGTTCATATGTGTGTATATGTGTGTGAGAAAGTGTTGTTTGGAATCTATGTATCAAAGAAGCGTAGAATGGATAGCTCTTCTTTCAGGGTATTTCTTAGCTGGGCAATCCCGACTAGAGCACTCGTAAGTGTTCTATGGTATATAATGTAATAAAGCAAAAAATTCACAGTCTGTTATATTATATATATATAAATATTATATATATATATATATTATTATTATTATGTATATATTATATATATATATGTATATATATATATTCATACATTTATATATTTCGTCGTTGACTTTTATAATTTTTATTAATTACAAAAAAGGGCCTAATTGCGCAGAGAGCGTGCAAGGCAAGGGTCGGTTGAGCTTCGGCATCAGCTGTTGCTGGGTTGCCTTGAGCCTTTGAGGCTTTGGCTTCAGCGGTTGCTTTTGCTTTAGCTTGGGCTTCGGCTTTTTGGCGTTCATTGCAGCATTGCCACATTGCCACATTGACGCGTTCACACCTTGATGCCTGTTGGAAGCAGGGCCCGCAGCGGCACTTACAAACAAGTTTCTCAAACACATGTATATATGTTTAATGTATATACATTTTAATATAAAAATTGCGGCTATTTAAGCGGTGCACGCCCCAAAATAAGAAGCCAAGTGCAACGCGCTTGTTGCCAGCTGCTGGCTTTTGGAGCAGATTAAGGGCGAGCGATGAATCGCTTTGAGTGGTTATAAAAGTCCACCTGCTTTGTGGCGAATGTTATCATTCATAATTTTGCACGCTTGTGATTTTATTGCCATGAAATTGCCAATAATTACGAGCAAACGAGCCGCAGATTCTTGCACAGATTCCGTTTAAGGGTATATTAGCTTTAATCTCTGCAGTGCTCATTACGCTGCAGTTGGAACATTACGTCGCAAACTTTGTTGCAACTTTAATTTGGCGCAACTTTGTCTCCGACTTTGCTTGATTCGGATTCTGTTTCTGGTTCTGATGCTGATTCTGCTGCAGACTCAAATTCAGTTTCTGTTTCAGATTCTGATTCTGTTTTTGCCACCGGCTTTCGCTGTGTTTGGCACAAATTGGCTTAAGCCCGCGGAAAACGTTTTTCATCAGACTATGGCAAAAAGTTTTCCGGCACTTTTGTCACAAGTTTTGCCAACTCTCTTTTCGGCTTTCCCTGCCAACTTCCGCCCACCCCTCGCCCACGTCGGCTCTGTGCGTGCGTAATTGCATTGCATGTTGCGCTGCATTAAACATTTCATAATTTCACTCAGTTGCCTTTGTCAGTGGCTTACGTTTGTTATTTGGCAGTTTTCCACAAAAGTTTTTCATCACTCGCGTGTTTTCGTAAGCTGTCCACAAAAAGAACGCAAAAAACGCCAAGCTTCAGCAGCGCTTTGCATATCATTTCGGGGTTTTCACTTGTAAACACAAGGAAAGGATTTCAGATTATTATTGTCTGCGGATTTCGACGTAGTTAGTATTGCCTGGCTTAATTTTTGAAGCTGTCCCTATCAGTTAATGCTGCTTCAATTTTGTATATATATATTTTTAGATATTTTTTTAAGTGTCAGCAGTCAGCGCTTGGAACTGGTGATTGATCAAAGACTAACCTGAAGACC